GGGCACAACCTCCCACCCGGAGGCACCGGAGGGACCCGGGCACCTCTCCGGAGGGGGACAACCGGGGTGGGGGGGTGTAGAGGGACAACGGGGCCACCGGTAGCCAAAGCAGTAGCCCCCGTCCCCTCTCGTGGGGGTGTCCTGGCCGGGGGGGGGGGCCAGGGCCGGGGCGGGGGCGTTGTTGGCGCTGAGGAAACCTCCTCCCCAGGAGGAACGAGGAAGGGGGAGCCGGGAGCTGGCTCGGGCCCCCGGATCTCCCGGTGCTCCAACGGCTGCGGGGTGGCCGCGGGCCAGCAGCCACCGCTCCAGCAAAATATTTACCCGAGTGGCACCGTGCCATGGACCAGCCTCCCGCCCCGCGCCGCACAGCGCGGCACAGCACGGCAAAGCATGGCACGGCGTGGTAAAGCACGGCAAAGCATGGCACAGCGTGGCAAAGCATGGTAAAGCATGGCACGGAGTGTTAAAGCGTGGCAAAGTATGGTAAAGCATGGCATGGTGTGATAAAGCATGGCACAGTGTGGCAAAGCATGGTAAAGCATGGCACGGCATGGCAAAGCGTGGTAAAGCATGGCACAGAGTGTTAAAGCATGGCACAGCGTGGCAAAGCACAGTAAAGCATGGCACGGCATGGCAAAGCATGGTAAAGCATGGCACAGTGTGGTAAAGCATGGCACAGGGTGTTAAAGCAAGGCACAGCGTGGCAAAGCATGGCACAGCATGGTAAAGCATGGCACAGTGTGGTAAAGCAAAAATATTTACCCGAGTGGCACCGTGCCATGGACCAGCCTCCCGCCCCGCGCCGCACAGCGCGGCACAGCACGGCAAAGCATGGCACGGCGTGGTAAAGCACGGCAAAGCATGGCACAGCGTGGCAAAGCATGGTAAAGCATGGCACGGAGTGTTAAAGCGTGGCAAAGTATGGTAAAGCATGGCATGGTGTGATAAAGCATGGCACAGTGTGGCAAAGCATGGTAAAGCATGGCACGGCATGGCAAAGCGTGGTAAAGCATGGCACAGAGTGTTAAAGCATGGCACAGCGTGGCAAAGCACAGTAAAGCATGGCACGGCATGGCAAAGCATGGTAAAGCATGGCACAGTGTGGTAAAGCATGGCACAGGGTGTTAAAGCAAGGCACAGCGTGGCAAAGCATGGCACAGCATGGTAAAGCATGGCACAGTGTGGTAAAGCATGGCACAGCGTGGCAAAGCATGGCACAGAGTGGCAAAGCATGGCACAGAGTGGTAAAGCATGGCACAGCGTGGCAAAGCATGGCACAGAGTGGCAAAGCATGGCACAGAGTGGTAAAGCATGGCACAGGGTGTTAAAGCAAGGCACAGCGTGGCAAAGCATGGCACAGCATGGTAAAACATGGCACAGTGTGGCAAAGCACGGTAAAGCATGGCACAGTGTGGTAAAACATGGCACAGCGTGGCAAAGCATGGTAAAGCATGGCACAGCATGGTAAAGCATGGCACAGCGTGGCAAAGCATGTCACAGCATGGCAAAGCATGGTAAAGCATGTCACAGCATGGCAAAGCATGGTAAAGCATGGCACAGCGTGGCACAGCATGGTAAAGCATGGCACAGCGTGGCAATGCCGGGCTCTGGACGGGCAATCATGGCCCTGTGGCTCAGGGCAGCCCCTCATGGCGATGCCCACGATGGGGACAGCCCAGGGAGGGCCACCGTGTCCCCACAGAGGGGACTGGAATGGGACAAGGGGGTCCCTTGGCCACCCCACGCCCAGGTTGCCCCCCTGGTGGGGGTGCCCAAGGCGGGTTCTGAGCATCCTCATCCCGGTGCGGGACCCGGGTCGTTATGGCAACAGGTTCCCCGTGTTCCTCCCACCCGCGACGGCACCGGGTGAGGGGGTGGCCGGGCCCCCCTCCCCTCCCCGCGCTGCGGCAACGGCAGCACCCGCAGCCCCCCGGGATCGGCACGCGCCGCCCGCGCCCGCACCCACGCAGCCTGCACCCGCGGGGGGCACCCGCAGCTCGGGGTGGGGTGGGGAGGGGGGGTACCACACCGGGCCTGGCACCCCGTACCGTGCTGGGGAGGGGGGACATGGTGCCCGAGCCCCCTCTGTGCCACGCGGCGCCAGGCACGTGTGCCACACACGGCCCATCTCCTCGATGGGTCAGCCCCATCCTGGCACGGTGGGCACCCAGGCGGCTGCAGGGTGGGCAAGGGCAGTGCCACTGGTTCTTGTGCCATGCCATGCCGGGGCACGTGTGCCACACACAGCCCATCTCCTCGATGGGTCAGCCCCATCTTGGCATGGTGGGCACCCAGGCGGCTGCAGGGTGGGCAAGGGCAGTGCCACTGGTTCTTGTGCCATGCCATGCCGTGCCGTGCCATGCCGTGCCATGCTGTGCCATGCCGTGCCATGCTGTGCCATGCCATGCCATGCTGTGCCATGCCGTGCCGTGCCGTGCCGTGCCCGTCCCCGTGCCGTGTGGCGGGGGCTGCAGCTCCGCGCAGCAGAGAATCCTCCCGCAGAGAGAGTAAAAATAGCAGCAGGTTTCGGGGAAACGGCGTTCGCTGCCTCGTCCCCCCTCCAGCGGGCACCGACGGGGAGCGGGAGGAGCGATGGCGGGGCCGGGCACGGTGGGGACACGGGGCCGGGCACGGTGGGGACACGAGGCTGGGCATGGCAGGGACG